CCTACCCAGGAGCAAGAGATGTCTTTCCATTTCCTGATATCTTCTTCAATCTCTTTTTTCAGAGTGCCATAGTTTTCGGAGAAGTCTTTGATTTCTTTTGTTAGGATGATTCCTAGGTACTTCAGTTTTTTGGATGCTATTGTGAAAGGAATTATTTGCCCTATTTCTCTCTCAGTGAGTCTGTTGTTTGTGTAGAGGAAAGCTATTGATTTTTATGTGTTGACCTTGTATCCAGCTACTTGACTGAATTTGGTTATTAAGTCTAGAAGACTTTTGGTGGAGTTCTTGGGGTCGTCTATATACAGTATCATGTCATCTGCAAATAATAACAATTTGACTTCTTCATTTCCTGTCTTTCTTCCTTTTATTTCTTTCTCTTGTCTAATTACATGGCTAATGTTTCCAAAACTATATTGAACAAGAGTAATGATAGTGGACGTCCTTGTCTTGTTCCTGATATTAGTGTGAAGGATTTCAGTTTTTGTAATATCACATTTACTGTGATATTGGCTGTTGGTTTTTCATAGATGGCTTTTATCAGATTGAGGTAGAGACCATCTATTCCAATTTTTTGTAGTGTTTTTTTCAGAAATACATGTTGGATTTTGTCAAATGCTTTTTCTGCATCTATGGAGATAATCATACGTTTTTTTCCCTTGGCTGCATTGATATAATGTATTACATTGATTGATTTGCATATGTTGAACCAATGCTGCATCCTCGGATGAATCACACATGGTAAGAGTGTATGATCTTCTTGATAATCTTCTGCATTCTATTTGCCAGTATCTTATTAAGGATTTTTGCATCTATGTTCATTAGTGAGATTGGCCTATAGTTCTCTTTTTCTGTTGGGTCTTTCTCTGCTTTGGGGATCAAGGTGATGCTTGCTTCCAGGTATATATTTGGGAATATTACTTCCCTTTCAATTTTGTTGAAAAGTTTAAACAGTAGTGGCAGTAGTTCCTCTCTAAATGTCTTGTAGAATTCAGAAGTGAAACTATCAGGACCCCCGCTTTTCTTAGTTGGTAAATTTTTAATTACGTTTTCAATTTCATTGGTTGATATTGGGTTGTTTAAAATTGTTAGGCCTTCTTCGTTCAACTTTGGTAATTCATACTTGTCTAGGAATCTGTCCGTTTCTTCTGTGTTTTCCATCTTATTGGCATATAGGTTCTCCAAGTAGGTATTGACGAACCTCTGGATTTGTGCTGGGTCTGTTGTAATTTCATCCTTTTCCTTCCTAATTGCAAGGATTTGGACCTTTTCTTTCCTTTTTTTTTTGATAAGGTTGGCAAAGGGTTTGTCAATTTTGTTGATTCTTTCAAAGAACCAACTCTTGGCTTCATTGATGTTTTGTATTGTTTTCTTAGTCTCCATTGGATTGATTTCTGCCCTGATCTTTATAATTTCCTCGTTTCTATGGGCTTTGGGTTTGTCCTGCTCTTCTTTTTCTGGAAGCTTGAGGTCCAGCATCAGGTTGTTTAATTGGGCTCGCTCTGTTTTCCTAATATAAGTATTCACTGCTATGAATTTCCCTCATAAGACTGCTTTCATTGTGTCCCATAGACTCCGATATGTTGTATTGTCATTGTCATTTAATTGAAAGAACTGTCTGATTTCTTCTTTAATTTCCTCTGTGACCCATTGGTTATTCAGAAGAGTATTGTTCAATTTCCATGTGTTTGCATCTGTTTTATGGATTCCATTTGTTTCCTATGTTGGGATTCCATCATGTTCCTCAGCTCCTCTATTTTTTTATCTGTGTCCTATCTAGATTTATTAATCATGTCTTGCACTATGGGCCCTATCTCTGCCTTTATGTGAGAAATTATTTCTGATTTCATTTTTTTCCAGATCCTCTTTCATTTCTAGTTCAGGGAGTCCCAGTGGTTGAGTATCAGAGTGTTCCATGTTGTTTCTCTTTGGGGTTGCTGTAGATGATCTGTAAGTCTGGTTTTGAGGCTTGTTTATGTGTCTTCTCATTTCAACGGGGTAGGGGGTGTTCTGGTGGCACCGGTACCTGGAAGCCTCCTCTGTGCTAGGAGCTGTGTCACGCCTACCCAGAAGCCTCCTGTGTGCTGGGAGCTGTGGCAGGCCTACCTGGAAGCCTCCTCTGTTTTGGGAGCTGTCTATGTTCTGAGTTTTATGATATGATTCTGAGGCTGGATGCTGACAATGACAGGTCAAACAATAACAACTTAATTATATTTTAGTTAATTATTAATTATAGTTCTATGTGTGTGTGTGTGTGTGTTACTACAGATTTTATCTCAGGCATCGTACAGGCAAGAGGTTCATGCTACCTCTTAACAACATGCCAAAAAAAAAAAAAGAGGTGTTTTCTAATATTGCACTGTGTTTTAATCAGCTTGCTATTTTATCCTGGATTGGAAAATCTGCATGCATAGGTATAATGGGGACATAATTGTCTTTGTTTTGTGATCATGTTTCCTGTTTTAATATAAAAACTGCATTAACCTGATGAAATGGTTGCAGAAATTTTTCTTTCATTGCTTTGCTTTTTCCTTTTTTAGTTTACAAACATGCGACTCCATGTTCAATCATCAAAATTTTATCATAATTTTTAAATTTGTAAATGTTGGTAATTCATATACAATACATTCATCATGGGGAATTGGTAAATGAATAGATCACATCTTGATCAACACCTTGAAATTTTCAGTGATTCATTTACAAACTCAAAAGCAGATAAATTTAAGAAAGAAAATGTTATGATTGCCACTTAAATTGCTTGCCAATATATTTGATTCTCCAACATCTTCTAGTACTAGATTTGAAATTTTATATATTGCTAAGAATTTATCCACTTTCTAAAATTCATTAAATGATAATTTTGTCACACTTTGTATTTTCCTGTAAAATCCTTGGTTACCTAGAGGTGATGGTATGCACCTGAAATTCTAGCATTCAGGAGGCTGATTCCAGAAGTCAAAAGTTCAAGGGCAGGTTTTGTAACATTGAGACACTTTCTCAAAAATTAAAATATGCTTTATGCTTATAATTATTTCTACCTTTTCTTATTGTTTTGCTATTAACCCTTTATTTTGGTTACTTCCTATCTTCTTCGTCTTTTCCAATACATTGGTAGTATAAATCACAACAACAGTTTTCAGGTGTCTTTAGGAAACTATTTCTGTAGGGACAGAGACCTGTAGGTGGGGAAAGATAAGCCCCCACCCCCAGGAGTTTAGACAGATGGTTGGACAGCCTTAACTACCTCTGAAGAGCTGGCAGCCTGAGGTTGCACTTTCTCTTTATGCTGTACCCTTCAAGGCTTGGTTTGCAAAAGTTAAAAGGAAAAACAGGAAACCTGACCCAGAATAGTAAAAAGCCCCAACTTACATGATGCTTAGAATTTGACTAGAAAAAAAAATTTGATGCATCGATAATTCTGTGAGAGGGTCAAGAGGATGTTCTAAAAAGAGAAAAAGAATATGTAAAATCTCTAGGACAGAGCAACTTGTTACAATATTGAACTGGAATAGTGAAGGCACCAGCAATACACAGGAAAAATTGAACAATTCACATTTTATTAATTTTTTGTATACATTTTGTCATATGGAAGTAAGTTTCATGTCATCTTTATTTTCAATAAGTAATGACTCTTGAATGTTTTAAATCCATATACAGAATCTTAGAATTATGTTTTTTATTTATAAGCACATAAGGAAAACAAGAACTCTCTTGGTTTATATTCAAAGACGAGTATATTAGGGTCATACAATTCATCAAATGAATAAACAGTAGTGGGGACTTGTCTTAAGTCCAGTGATTTGAAGCTCAGATAAATCTTGAATATAATGAGGAAGGACCATGATCATTCCCCTGGCCTGCAGTACACTTTGTTGCCTCCAGCTCCTCTGAACAGCTCTGGAAGGAATGTTGACTGCCACAAGCTGCAGAGCAGAGAAAAGTAGGTAATAAATGCGGAAATCATATTGGAGCTTTTGTCCTTTCGGAAGTCTTTATTGGTTATCATGATCTTTTCCCTAGAAAGTTGTTTCAGTATGCAAAGATTTATTGGAGTCAAACTGAACTACAATTGTATGAAGAAAATCTATGAAGGGCAGTCATAGAGAAACATCATTTATATAGTCTAAAGAAAGGGTTGATGCACTTGGTATTTTTTTCAGACACCTAATATTCATTTCATGAGGTTCTTAGTCTAGATACAAAATACCTGACATATACAACTTAAGAATAAAAGGTTTAGCTCATGGTTTCAGACATCGAAGTTGGTTGCTATTTGACTCCAAAGAACAAATATCAAAGTGGAAGACAATAAAGAAAGAAATGTTACTACTGTATGAGAAACTGGAAGTACGGAGCAAAACTGGTCCCAGAAAAGAAGGGGAAGGGAGAAGATATGGTCTATAATGTCTGTTTTTCAACTCGCACATCAGGCTCTCCCTCCATATCACTGTGCCCTGGCCTTGCCTGGACTCATGGCACTCTCTCACAATGATTTGTCCTTGGTGTATTAACTCTGGAATTGTTTCAGCCCTTCCGTGATCCCATTTTAAGGAGCAACACAGGAAAAGCCCACTCAGCGCAGTAGGAAGGCAGGGGTATCTGAGAGTGGTGGTGCATGCTTGTAAATCCAGCAGTAAGGAGGCTAACACAGGAGAATAACAGCGAGCTCAAGGCCACTCTGGGCTCCAGAGTGAGTATAACAGAAAATTTCACGTGAGATCCTGTCAAAAAAGACAGTGACAGCTTTTCCGAGCCAGAAGTAAACTTTGCTTAAAAGCAGCGTAGGCAGGTCAGCATGCTGGGAGACAAACTGGTCTAAAAGCCTCTGGGTTACAATGTACCCTGGAGCTCCACTCACACCAGCAGGGATTTGTTTGTGTTGTCTCTGTTTCGGTTGTCACAGCCCAGAGGGAGGACAAGGAAGCAGGAGCAAATTAGCGTGAAAGACGCAGGCCTGTGAACTGTCCAATCAGGTGGGCCGAGGGAGGCGGGCTCTTGTTTCTTGGCACCAAAACCCGGATGGGGAGCGCCTTGCAGAGAACCTGCTCACCTAGCTACACCTTGCTTTAGGATTTCTCCTGGCTGCAGCCTTCGTGAAAAGGACCCTGGAAGACCCTCAAGCCACGCAATGGTAAGAGTATGGGATCGCTGCCCTGAGATGGGACAGAATGGGATGTGATGTGGGTGAGGTCAACCCGGAAGTGGTTGGATCCAGCAATGGCGAACCAGAGCCTCCCTGCAGCTCCAGAGTCTGCGTTTTTCCTGGTCTATAGCCCAGTGTACCCTCTGTACCTCCTGCCTTGGCTGAGGCTGGCCCATTTTGGGTCCCCAGCACCACGCCTCCCCACAGCCACCCCGCCAGCCAAGAGTGCAGTCTCGGGCAGCCGCAGCTCACAGCCGCATCGCATCTCCAGCTGTGTGCGGACAGTAGGAGTTGTGGGGAGACCCTGATTCAGGTGACAGGTTAGAGCTGGAGGGGCTGTGGTGTGCTGCCTCTCTGGTCTCAGTCCTTCCTCCAACAGAATTGGTGGACCTCAGTTTTACATATGTCTATGGTACAGGGTCTTAACTCCTCAGGTCTATGCCCCGTCATGAGGAGAGTGAATTCCGAAATTTGCCAGTATGTCCCCATATTTCTGCACACATGATAATTGATGATAAGTGCCATGAGAATCTGATGACAGGTTTAACATCATTTTTGATGTGACTCAGTGTTGCAGTGCTTGCCATGCGTGCAGTAAACTCCCATGTTACATACACAGAAGTGCAAAAGAAAATTTTCGTCTTCATTGTTTAGATGAAACCTCTTCTAACAGATAGACCATTTAAGTGAGAACTTCCCATAGCGGTCGGAATGCTGAGAAAAATGGAGGTGATGTTAATGTGTTAACCGAGGCAGGAGAAAGTGTTCCTGCTAAGGACTACTTCCAGAAGGAACTGCCTGTAAAATGCACTATGTGAAACTCCTTGAACTCGGGCATCCATATGGAAGTGTGATTTGGTAGGAGTGGAAAGGGAGAGGGGTGTCATCTCATATAATTGCCATAGCCATTGGATTGTTGGTAGACAGTGTCTTCAAAATTGAAATCCTCGCTAAGGTGGACTTTCTATTGAAGGATCACTGCACGAGGTGTAAAGCCCTAAACATGAGGTCTTTTCCCATAAGAAGGCTTAGGGATAAAGATTTTCTCTGTTGGGAGGAGAAAGAAAGTGGGAGAGGAGGGGATGATGGTAAGGGTGACAAAAACACCCCACATTAGAGAAGGCATTCCCCTGAGGTCAAATGGTACTTTGTGTGACATACAGGAATTGTGCCCTGGTTCAGTCTGAGAGTAGGTCAAAGATCACGGGCCTTAAGGATGGAGAAAAACTTAGTAAAAGTTAGATAAATGTCTTCTGTTACTGCTAATCAGTTAACCTAATCATTTTTGAGGAAAAGTGAAATTAGAAATGTGGCCTGGTAGGGTTAAAAGTTGTGGGATATTATCATCTAAGTGTGAAGGTAAGGAATTTCTCCAGGATACAAAAAATTGCAGGGTGTGGTTAAAGTTTTTATTGCATAAAGATTAAACCCCGGACTTTTGCTCTGAATTACATCCCGTACCCTATTTAATATTTCATTTTAAAATTTGAGACCAGGTTTCAGTAAGTTGTCCAGGCTGCAGTGAACTTCTGATCTTGTTTTAGCCTCCGAGAATCCTGAGATTATAGGCATGTGATACCACAAATAGGTAAAATGCAGGTTCTTTAATCACCACTATTAATGAGGATTACAGTGCTTTATTAAATGAAAATTCAGTGAGGCCTGGTTGCACCCCACTTTCATCCTAGCACTTGGGACACTGAGACAGAGTTTTGCAGTACTGAAGCCAGCCTGGACAATGGAGCAAGACCCGTATCGACTGGGGCTGTATTTTCAGTGTAATGTAACTTGTGCAACATACACAAAGCCCTGAATTCAATCTGCAGTACCAAAGAATAAAACAATGGAAGTATTCAGTGGAAAATTGACTTCAGTTTTTGAATTTTATTGTTTGCACAGTAGTGGTGTGTGTTAAAATATTTACTGAAGATACTGGGCAGCAGCAGGGAGTCGCTGCTCTGTTAGTGACAGGACACCAAGTGAAAACGGATGAGCTGGTCCTTTGGAGAATATGAAACTTAGTAGTTTCCTGTGTTGAGCACTGTATTACTCAGGTTCTCCTGAGGAACTAAGCTGAGACGCAGTATGAGTAGTATTTGGATAATGGAGAATTACTCTGGGTTTTGTTTTGGGTTTTGGATTGGTTTAGTTTCATTTGCTTGCTTTGTTATTTATTTATTTATCTATATATTTTGTATTATAGAGAGGTGCACCACTCCATTCTTACTGTCTAGTTTGTTTTATCAGGACAAAGCAATAGGATAGGAATTGTCAATAAACAGAGGGCTGAGCAATTTAACTACAACACCCCAAGCATGTATAATGCTGAAGAGAAAACACTTCCCTTCTTAGTTTATGCTGATTCTGGGAACCATTCTTTCTGCTTTAATCTTGGAGAAAATATTTGACTTTATATTTTGCCCTATCTTGTTTTCCCATTGCCTCTTCCTTGCCCTTAATAGACTGAAGTCATGCCTGTCTAGCACTGTCATGTCCAAGTCTTGGGATCGTTCTTCCTTTGTAGTGGTTTACATTTCTCTGGGCAAAGAGGTGATTACAAGCCTTTACTGTGTGTTCCATATGTGGTGGATCCTACAGTGCCTGAAATTCTCTTGAGTACTCCTGAATTCTTCAAACTCTGTGAACATCTCTCTCATGTTGGTGTCTTGGAGAAGGCCACAAGGATGACCTATGGACAAGGAGCACAGCTGAAATAAAGCACAGAGCTTCAGTTGAAGGGAAGTCTTAGTCTGGCTTTACAACCCCAGTGTGTGTCATCATGGTACACCAAGCATGGGATCCTTTTCTAGTTTTTACTCTAGTGGCATCTGAAAGGCAGCCTAAAGAAGAGGACCAAAAGAGAGTGCTGGAGTATAGACTGGGAGTTATTTGGGTAGAATCATTCAGCCTTATTTTGGGATGCAAAGGTAGAGAGATGGCAGGTCTTGGGATCTTCTTTTGCCCTCTCAGGGTACCATGTCATTTAGGAGTTTATGTGTCCATTGAACCTGCTAAGTCAGAATTTCAGCTACTGGTGATTTCATACTTCTGAAAACATGGATTTAATGTAATACTTTATTTGCCTTTTCCAGTTATGAGAAAACATACTTTTTGAGTTCTGTCAATGATACAAGTGCCACAGGAAGCAGTTTTTCTTTTTTTTTCTCTTTTCTTTGTTTTTTTTAAAGAAGGAAAGATTTATTTGGCTCACAGTTTGTAAAGCTTTCAGTTCATAGTTGGCTGGCTCCAAGGCAGGGTGGCATGGCAGGGGAGTGACACGCAACAGAAACAGGAAACAGGTTTTTTTACTGCTCTAGAAACAGATTTGGAAAAATGGTATAGATGTTCAGGAGCATGCTTGCTAGTGCATAGAGTACATACCCATTTAAAATCTAACACACATTATCCATACTACCATCACCAGTAGGCAATAATTTCTATTTATTATAATCAGTATTTCTGCCTTGATGAATTTTGTGGATATGAATTGAGATTCATTTCTGTTTTTCTGTCTTTTTAAACAGCTTTCTTTTAGGCCTTTTTTTTCTTTCCCATGTAATCCCTTCTATAAATTTTCTGCTTATATTATATGTTGATATTTGTGATAAGGATACTGTTCAATTAAATCTTTTCTTCTGTGTATTTCTTTGTCACTTCTAGAAAATGAAAACGCCTTCTGCAATTTTTCATCTGGAAGTTAATTTCATCAATAATTTTCTTTGCTGAACGGAAATCCTGTTACTATTTTTGTTTCTTTTCAAAGTTATGCTAAAATTGTGGTTCTACATATCTAAAGTTTTCTCCACTCTTCAATTAGAAAGCTATTTTCTTATAATTTCTTCAATATTTCACATTTTAATATTTAATATTTTTGTCACATATCTCAATGAAATGCATCTTTGAATGTTTGTGATGCAAAAATCAGGTTTACTTGACACATAAAACGTACAACTTATCACCATAAGTGGATGATTAATTAGCTCATCCTCTTTATTTGTACTGCCAGCCTTAGCAGATCTCAGTTTAAAAGAAAGCAGAAGTATTTCCTGATATTTCTTATAAATTTACTTTGTCTACATGTTGTCTGATGTTCAGACTTAAATAATTGTAACTTTATAGTGTGTCCCAAAATATGGAAATGGATATTTCTCCTCTTCATACTTATTTGAGATTTGAAAAACGATGTCTCATCTTTTGTTTTTTAAAAGGGATTCTAGAATAATTTTGTGGCATTTATAGTTGATTCACTGGTATTATAAATAGAGTAGAATGAAGGATATACTGTGAAGTGTATATGTCATATCACGTCATCAAATCTAAATCTGTACCTTATTCTGTACATACACAGATCATGTTCCCCAAATGTTTTCGTTTGGTTTTTTGAGACAGGATCTCACTCTACAGTTCCCGTGGACCTCTTTAGCCCAGGCTGGCCTTGAACTTGTGGTGATTTCACTGCCTCAGCCTCCCGTGTGCCAAAATGCCTGGCTATCACATTTTATATAAGAGAAGTATTTTTGAATATGTTACTGATTTTTAAAGAAGATATTGATAATATTTTATAAAGATGGGTACATGAGTGCTTGGCAGGGTTTGACTATTTCTAGGTGCTTATAAAATCCTTTGCAGTGATATGTGAGGAAGATTTCCCTCTGTAACTCAAAATATTGGCATAGATTGAGAGAAGTTGAGTGGAACATCCATTATCTCTTCAAAGCTGACATTAGAAGTATCTGCAAAAAGTGATACAACTTCAAACTTCTAATTAAGTCAATTTTTAAAATAAAATGGTTACTTCCGTAAAAGTTCATCAAATTCACGTGTCATAGGTATGTTGTTGCACTTTTGATTCTAGTAATAGCAAAGCATTTTTTTCTGTTTTCTAGTAAATTGAAAAGTGGTTCTTATACAAATCTAAACAAAAGACCTTTTGGTGTCTCTTTAGTTACTGACTGTATAACGACCTTGGGAAAAAAATTTGAGAGCTA